CCAGCCGCGGCAGACTTTATCTTTCTGCTTACGCTGGGTATGGAAATTATATCATACACACTCGAGAACATTTTCACCTTAACGCATTACGGAGTGTACAATTACACAACTCAACATATATATATATATATATATATATATATATATATATATATATATATATATATATATATATATATATATATATATATATATATATATATATATATATGTATATATATATATATATACAGGGTGTATCAAAATAAACACAATTCATCTTTTGTGCTTAATAACTTTCGAAATACTATTTCTAGTTAAACGCTTTTAGACTTACTTCAAAGCCTGTTCTTTTCTCTTTCAAACAAACTATTATCCTTGTCCCCAATGCTAGTAATAATTGCACAGGAAAAGATTTAGTAAAACCTATCATTTTTAGTTGCTGTTTAATTATGCAAGTTTACTATGTTATTGTTTAGTCGGATTCAATGTTAGAATTTTCTTCTTTAAACTTTAATGTTGTCGTCACTACATCTGGAAAACCACGTAAGAACAAATTAAAAGTATTTTAAAAGAGACCAGGTTGTTTGAAAATCCTAAACGAATACTAAAAATCGTCAAAACATTCTGGTGTCTGAGCCAGAGTGTCATCGAATTGCGATGTAATGTAAACAGAAATTATAGCAAGTTGATGTCAGTCAGCTTAGATGGTCCAAACCAAAATTATATCACATTTGAAGTTTCAAACTGAGTTAAAAATAGTGGAAGAAAAGCCGTCATTATACTTATTGTTACAATCCATTTAATAAAATGCAACATTTTTTTGTTTTAATGAAAAAATCAGTTATTTTCATGAGAACGATTTGTTATACCATCTCAATTTTTTTAATCTCCAATCGCAATAACGTAAAGTATTATTACCCGCGAACCAATGAGTCAAATTTAAGAAACAACCCACTGTTAGAAAGCTGAATGACTACGCTTTAAAATGAATGTAAACTTTAACGTTTTCGTCTATTATTTGTTTAGCAATTTAGGCCTACATTTCAGTCGAGAATTGCGCTTTTTTTGATACACCCTGTATATATATATATATATATATATATATATATATATATATATATATATATATATATATATATATATATATATATATATATATATATATATATATATATCCGCATATGCCGAGACTATATTAAGTCTCTGTAATAATTTTTGGATGTTGTCTTGCTAAACGTTCTGGATAAACTAATTATATTTTATATATTCATATTGTCCACATTCATGGATTGCAGAGTGTTAGATACTCAACTTGCTACTGTTTCTAAGTGAACTTGCTACTGTTTCTAAGTGGTTGGTGGGACGAAGCGTCCATGAAATGAAGGAGCAAATCGTAATGGAACTTCTGCTCTGGCGAGCTCCGTGAACGTGTGTGCATCAAGCACTAACAGAAATGAATTATCGTTGATTGTATGATACACTGAAGACAATACAACACCGTCATCTTCTTCCTGGCTATCTGGAGCTGTAACAAACACTGGTTCTGAAACTAAACATCCTTCTTCAGACCAAACAAAGCTTTCTTTTGTTTCAACATCGACTTTAATCAACTTATCTAACAAGAGACCATCAATCTTGTCGTCTGCACTGCAAGCACCGTATACATAGCGATGACGTAATCTATTGTGTTTCTCGTTAATACGTGGCAGATCAAAGCATACATCTGAAAGGACTTCATAATCCAATCCCGACGCTTCTTTCTGCAGTGTAACAACTTCTGACTGATCTAACTTTACAGGCAAGCGATATCGTCGTAGCTGGGAAATAAAAGCACTTTTCTCGGGGTGGGTATACGTCTTACGAGTTTCCTGCAGGTAGAGTTGGTGGAATATTTGAGCATCCGGGTAACAGCAAATATCTAGGACTATCTGGTTGTTATCATCATAGGCATTTACAACATGAAAGAAGAAAAATGGCTCTGCTTTGATGGTTAAAACGATTTCACCACTTTCACGAGATATTACCACGAAATTCACTCCTTTCGTGGAGTTCCACGCAAATGTCTCGAGGATGCTCCATCCGACGAAGCGTGAGGCTGCGAGCTTCCACAGATTGACGGTCAGCGGTTGTTGAATGAAGATGAAATATTTCTGAGTCATGCCAAAACTATGTGTGTATGTCTGCTGACGTGATGCAGGTATAGTTGCGATGACTTTACCACCGTTCAGCGGCTTCTCGCCCTCTAGATCCTCGTCAGTACGGGGGGGTAGCATGGTAATTAGGTATGCGAGGCCAACTTTTTTGTCATAGCCAACCGAGAGATTATAAATAGAACCATCGTCATCTTCATGTGGATGAGCCGTCGCGAAGAAAATTTGTTTTACTATATCTGGATGAAGAAAGTATAAAATGTTAATGATACGGGACATCACTCTCTGTGTAGCGAAAACATTGTGTGGGTAAATATCAGAATTTTGGGGCATCTCACTCGATACAACTAATGGACCTTTCGCTTATAACTAGAATTTTGATCTAGACAAAAATTTCACCACAGCTTGAAAGAGCATCACAAAATTAGTAATATTCCAAAGTTTCATGTTTCGCAGCACAATCGGGTGTTGGGGCATCAATTTCCGTTTGTAATACAAAATGACTGAAAATTGCAAATTTCGCAAGGCTATATTATCCGTATTTTACAACATTTCGCAACGAAACATCGGAATATTACTAATTTTGTGATGCTCTTTCAAGCTGTGATGAAATTGTTGTCTAGACTTGTCTAGATCAAAATTTTCGTTAGAAGGGGAAAAGTCCATTGCTGAAGGGTTTTGTAGTTGGTATTTTCGAGTGGAATTTTTAAGCGCGTGTTTACAAATGCGGGTAAACCGGTTTTGTCTCACGGATGTTGCGAACAGCAACATCTGTGAGCAGGGCCGGAGATACGGGGGGGGGGGGTGTGACACCCCTCCAGAAATTTTATTCAGTCGGTAGGACTGCTATTTGGGTTAAATATTTTCTCGCAAAGGGCAAGATAGAGGTTGTTGATCTCCGAAAAACATTTTCTCGCGTCAACCTCTCGGCGGCCCGTCAACCTCTCGGCGGCCCTGTTCGTCAGTCGGTTGCAGGGCAGTAGAAAAAATGAGGTGTATTTACAAAAATTTCGAATATTCTAGAAATTTTAGGAATTTTAGAAAATTTTTCTTAATAAATGGAGAAAATTTGTGATGTCTGGAAAATTTGTTTGATGTTCCGAAAAATTTTGATTGTCCGGAAAAATTTTTGTACCCCTAAAATGGTACACTGACCGAAATTTTTTTGGCGACGGAGGGGGGAGATCGCTAAAAATTATTTGTTCCAAAAAATTTTTTTCCAGGTACTGGTCGGTTGAAATGACCTTACACCCCCCCCCTGAAAAATTCCCTGAGGACGGCCCTGTCTGTGAGTCTTTGTGGTTACTTGAGTGTGGGGCAGTTAAACGATGGGAAATGACCAGCCTGATTTGCGCGCACTGTTTGCCTGCGAATCGGGCTGGAGCACGCGTTCGTTCTGATTTAGCAAAAGAAGTACGACAAATGGCAAAATTCGCACGGTGCTCGTTTGCAAAAATAACTGCAAACTGCTCTAATTCTTTCTGTCACTTTCATTTGATCTCATCCGTGAGTCGGCCTCAAGCCCTCAACGGCCTTTGATCAACCTTAGGAATAGTAGGAATAGTTCAATAGTTTCAACCAAGTGTTAAAAATCTTTTGATAACAGTTTTACGGTGTGATCGATAAAATGTTCTGTGATTTAAAATGAAACTAAAATATGCACAGCTTCAAGAATTTTGATTTATTATATGCATGTTTTTGTTGTGCCTACTGGCTAGCCCTAGTTCAAACGTCGCGCTTGTCATGTGCCGAACCTAATCCGAATGTTTGATAATCGCGACGTTTGAAGTTAATGTTCAACAAAGACGCTACAGTGTTTTTTTGTCTCGTGTCGGCTTTCACCTCGCTAGATTCAAGTCCGAGAGTGAGGATTATTTACCTGGCTAGCTGTGTTCATAACATTGATTTATTTCAAAAGTTCACTACAAATTCGCCCCTCGTGTTGTAACATTGCCTCTGCGCTTTACTGCGTGCGGGTTCTCTTCCCAGCAGTCTCTTCACGTATTGCCCTGCACTATATACTACAGTGATTTAAAAAATACAAGCAGAACTTCGACGTTTCGAGCGACAAAGCCGGAATTTAAACATCAGGCAAACAAATCTTGTTTACGAACTTTAACATCATCTGTAAATAAAACACAATATTTAATATATCCAGCCAAATAAGACTTACAAGTCTATATATAGTTGGGTGCCTCAAATGGGCATGTCATGCAAACAGCTCAGTGGTAAATCGACTCGGTTTTGGTCATATTAAAAGTTCTCTTTATCTTTTTCAGGTACTTCACAATTCAGATAGTTCAGGTAGACAGAAACGAAAACCGTTTAATATTAAATTTTCGAATAGCTCTGGTTACAGCGCCGTGCAGAGTGTGCTTGTCATCGATCATTACACGTTGTATGGGGCTGCCCGCAGGCTATCATTACACTTGCAGCTGAGCTGAATTGCGAGGGTTGCACTCACGCAGAGAGTCGAAGGCTTTTTCCCAGTACCCGGAGAAAACTCTCGATTTTCATTAGCTCCGGAACGTTGATGGACCCTTTTCACACGAATGTCTGGGATGAGAATGAACCACAAAAGGCTAGCTTGCTTTGAGAGATGCGCCACCGAATCCCCTGAGACCTTGGTTCAACCCCACTTCGACACTGCATGTTCCTGCAATGCTGAGGACAATGAACGATATCTACCCCCTGGCTTAGTCAACAATATTGTAACATCGTCCTACATTCACTAAAATCATATTCGTAGAGCTCGTCGTATATGTAGATTGAATATCCCGCATTCCGTGTATACATGTCGGGTATCCCTGTGGTTTCATGCGCTGATACACGATCGAGACCTTAATTCTATTCCCGCTGAAGACCATATCGTGGGAGTGGTTGGGACATTCAGAAACTAATGTGATTCTACTCTTGGCACCCCCAGTAAGGTAACATTCTTACATGAAGCAATAGAATATTTAATTAAAGTATATTAGTAGCACACATGTACAGTAGCCTACCTTGAAAACCATCAGATAATTTCACCCTGTTAATACTTTCAAGACTACTTGGATCAATTTCTGTGATAATCGGGACCTCCGTCATGGCGTATATCTTTCCTTTAATACAGCAAAAGTTCACTGAAGCGTTGTCAGTGTATTCTTTAGGGAAGAAATAAGTAAACCATCTTGCAAAGATATTCTTGCATGGATCGGGAGTCCCTGGGGTTCCCAGTTCCGATTCAACTATCTTGCCAGCTTTCATGTTTCGTTCATATGTTTGACTGCGTAGGAATTTATTGAAATATACAACATTCCCATTTTCAATTACAAACTGTTGTAGCAGAGCTAGGCCATCAAACAAATGACGATACGAACTGTCTTTAATTTCAAATTTCCCAGGACCATTTCTGAGTAGTGTTCCTTTGATCCATTTTGGAACACTCCCTGTTATCTTCGCTTCTATTTCTTCCGAGAGCTCTTCAACGCTTTGATAGTACAATGGCTTGTTGTTTTCGCAAGCCATATTTTTGTGATTTAGTATAACTATAAGCAAGTACAGCTGAGAATTGCTCGACCAAGAGTTATAAAACAACGCAGTCGGCAACTAGTGTTAGCATTACATAACGATAATATGGTATGCAACTTAATATTTATTGCAATAATCATTTTGGACATTAAACCTTTTTCAATAATGCAAAAACAAACACAGACAAATGCGGTTTTCTTTGAACAAATACTTAACAAACATTGACAGCGGTTTCCGACGTTATGAGGGCTTTGTGGACGTGTTCTTCCAATATTTTCTAAATTGTTTTGTCGTCCATGCCCTTACTCTTATTCTTTCATTTTATTTTTCACTATATCAATGTAACGAAAGTACAGCTGTATGTTTAAATTGCTTAGTTAGGTAACAAGGAACGTTAACAGAGAATATCTAGGCCTATTATCACAAATTTGCTTTTTGCAGTGGTTTAAATAGAAAATCTAAGTTAATCCTCAAATTTTATCTTTATGTCACATCTAAGACTTTGTTAAGACAACATAATCCGTGATTAAAAAAAGTATCCAATATAATTACATATAAGTATCACATTTTAATTTTAAGTTGAAAATAAAAACAACATGACATTTTGATGTCAAAAATGTCCCATAACAATTTTGTTACATATATACATCACAGGTCGTAGCTTGTCACGCCCTGTCACTGGATTGCATTCTTTGAATGCACTGTGCTTGTTGGTTCGGCAGGTATTTTCCGCGGGTGACGGGAAGAACTACTAGAAAGAAAGATCACTTGCATGGATGTGTCATAACAAGAGATTAGTAACTTTCCTGACGAATGGCTGTGACTCAAGCCACAGCAGCATATTGTGGGGTCAAATACGTTCTTTTTCTGTGTGGAAATTGCTCATTTCATTTTAAGAAGCATTTTTAAACCAATACAACATCATCCAACATCGCTGGTCCAACAATGTTAGATAATGTTGGACAAAATGTTTTGATAGGGTCAAACATCAGCCAACATTACCAAACATGTTGGATCAAACAGACCCAACAATAGTGCTTGTAACAATGCAGGATGATATTGAGTCAATTTGTTGGACTGGTTTAATTGAACGGGTTTTAATATGTAACAAAATTATTGAAACACAATCTTCATACGACACCGGACGAATTTGGAGTCGTGGGAAAATTTATTCGACTCGAGTGTCTTCTGTGAACTCGAAAACCCGAATCGTGCAAAGTTGAGTTCCAGATTCATCTTGTTTCGTGTGAATGGAGCTTGAAATAAAGGGAATGTAGAAGATGACGGTACCTTTAATCTTGCATGAGATTATATTAAATTTCTTTTGAAAACTAATTTCAATTTAATTAAACTGGCTTAACCCACCTATATTGCTATAATCATCAGATTAATAGATTTGTTCCTAATTACTGCTCATTCACCAGTCAATAATTAAATTTTTAATTGATCATTTGCCAGGGGCGCCGGAAGCGGCTTGAAGTAGCGAGGGCAGCCATGAAAAATGTAGCATTTTTTGTTAAAATTTTGCTATATAGGTACTGGATTATATTATGTATGTTTTATGTTGTATATGATTTCATCCTCTATCTATTGGCTTTTGCCATTCGAACACACAATGATGTACTTTTATATACTGTTCTTGATAATACGAAAACATATCCGATGATACATTGACACCTTGATATGTAAACTCACGCAAATAAATCTTATAATATTTCTGTGAAAAGGATTGTTAGACTAAGCCTATGAAATGTGAACATGCAGCATTTATAACAACAAAACAACAGCGCGCCAAAAACACATGTCCTCGTGCGCAATGCGCATGTCCAACTACTAGTTCCCAGTCTTTACATATACTCACTTGACTCAATCTTGTATCAAAAAACATTCGACTTCAAAAAGCTTCGTCTTGAAATTACACTTTAACAAAACCTATGTAGTGAAATGAGTGCGTTTTTCGTCCATGTATAGAACGAAAGTACGAATCTGAGCTGACTTAGCAATAATTTTACTATAACTGCTCAAAAGTTGAGTCATATTGTTTAGAAACGCAGCCCTCAATTTCAATTCATGTTATAACGCACGTGTTTCGAAGTGTAGTTCTTGTGAAGGGCAACCTTCCCTCATTCCCCCACACTGTTTGAGCAAAGGGGAAAGTTGCTTCAGAATGTGACTCTGACGCTCCTGTCGCTTGCATTATTGGCCACTATAGGCGTACGGGGCTGATGCTTTTCTGGGGGGAGGGCAGTTGAAAGTTTGCCCTAATTTTTATGGAGGATTGTGATGAAATAGCCGGTTCCCCTTATTACGTATTCTGAATACAACTACCATGATACTTTGCGGGTATTTTCTTCATTATGCAATAACACGTCCGAAAAGCATGTTGGTAGTTGTATTCAGAATACGCAATAAGGGGAACCGGCTATTACCTGAATTTAACGTACCTATTTTCTGATAAATCTGCTCGAATTTTCTTGATTTTTCCTAGCATTTGCCCGAATTTCCATGGTTTTCCAAAATGTTGTTGGGGCAGTTGCCCCACCCCCGTATCGTACGCCTATGATGGCCACACTCCACAGAGATCCCAAAGATAATTATGGCCATCAACACTGCCTCGTACCCAGGCGCTTTAAATAATTACAATACATGAAGTATTCAATCTCTCCCAACTACAATACTTCATGTAAACTCGTCATATGCGCATCACTGTTTTTTTACAAAGAGACGCCTGGGTACGAGGCAGGCCACAAGCGGCCCAATCTTACCCTGTGCTATTAATTTATTACGTTATATCTTTATATAATAGTATACTGAAAATCATTAGAAAATCCTGTGTTATTAATTTATTACGTTTTATCACATACTTGTACCTTTATCAGGTAGGAAGCAGCGGGACATAAAAACGATATCGTCCCGGATATCGTTTTTTGTCCCGGATATCGTTTTTTGTCCCGGATATCGTTTTTTGTCCCGCTAAATTTCGCGCCTTGTCAAAACAAAGATGGCCGACTCGAGGTTCGTGTTGGTTGATGTGGACAGTTTATCGAAGAAAACAAGAACGATAATACAAAATGAAAGACTTAAATTGTATATCATTTATATGAATGGTCTATTTATTTTCTAAAATCATATTTGTTCAGTAAATGATGAATTGTTTCTAAAATGATCCTATTTTTTCAAAAATCAAAACTGTTTACTTTGGGTGTCAAACCCTGATAAAGGTACAAGTATATAATAAATAGGTTATGGTACTCGGGATTCGGTGATATCAGTTTTATCGCTCTCGGGACGATATCACAATTGTCCCTCGCTCGCTGCGCTCGCTCGTGACAATTGTGATATCATCCCTCGAGCGATAAAACTGATATCACCTCATCCCTTATATGATAACCTATATATATCTTTATATATAGAGGATATTACACGGCGGCGCGAAGATATGACTTTTATCTTCGAGTGGTGAAAACAATATTTTACAAACGAGCGCAGCGAGTGAGTAAAATATTGTTTTTAACACGAGAAGATAAAAGTCATATCTTCAAGCCACCGTGTAATGTTCTGTTTATTATATAGTCCCAAGCAAAAATTGTATAAATACTAAAAGTCACGTGATCGATATCTTCACTAGGGAAGATATGGAAAATATGTCACTGTGTATTTCTCAGTATCTCACTCTCTACTATATAATAAAATAGTATATTGAAAATCACTTACATGTGTTTCCTGAAAGATTTTAACGAGAACCGGCCAAGATTGGCGTTGACATGAGGTTAACGGCCATGGGGTTAGGTGGAAAACGCGGACATACGGACAAGCGGACACGCGGACATGCGGACACGCAAGTCAAGTGGAAAACGCGGACACGCGGAATCACGGTTAGGTGGAAAACGCGGACATGCAGACACGCGGACATGCGAACACGCAAGTCAAGTGGAAAACGCGGACATGCGGACACGCAAGTCAGGTGGAAAACGCGGACATGCGGACACGAAATTTACTAAACTTCAAAAAATCTATTACGACAATAATTAATAATTTTTCGCGTGATATTGAAAGTTATCAATGTCGAAGTTGTGTTTTTCTCTCTCTTTTCTCTGTCTTAGTTTGTAAGCTCGTTTAGTGTATTTCGCTTCTTTTTTTAGTTAATTACAAAAACAAATCTCGCCATGGGCCATGGCTTTATATGTTCTGCATGTAAATAAGCTCGTTTTCTGCTGGCAGAATTGATGTCATATTTACATATACATTCAGAAAGCTATATTATTATTATTGATCTTTAAACACGGTAACCTTTCACATAGGTGATTTTCAAAGGGCCGTGCGGAAAATAAATGCATTATAAAAGAAGGAACTAATAAACTAAATTATACTTATTTACAAAATATACTTATTTACTTATTTACTTATTTACTTATTTACAAGATGTAATTATTTAATAGATGATGGACAGATTTTAAACTTGTTGATTCTCTTAGGGTTTTCAACAAGTTTACTGGGATGTTGTTCCAATACGCTGCTCCTCTGTACGAAAAGCTATTTTTCAAGAAATTCGTTTTTGGTTTAGGTTGAGACAGCTTTAAATTACTACTGCGCAGTACGTAACCATTGTTTTCGCAAGTGTGAAATAGTTGTGTTACGTATTCTGGAAGCATGCCATTAATCGCTTTAAATGTCATAAGGAGATCTCGCTTTTTCAAAACTAAGTCAAGAGGTTTCCAGCTAAGTTTTTGAAAAATGTCCGAAGATCTTATAGTATAGTCCGAATTTGTTATTATTCTTGCTGCTCGTTTCTGAAGCTTATATAATTTGTCTAAGTGTGTTTGGTTGTTATTTTGCCAAACAGTTGAACAGTAGTTAAAATGAGGCGCGACTAATGCGTTATACATAATTTTGAGCGTATCTAGGCCAACAAAATCTTTGGCTTTTCTTAAAAGATTAATATTTTTTGATATCTTGTTGCATTGTTCTTCATTTTGCCTATTCCAGCTAAGTCTATC